TTTATTTGGATTCCAAGCATTTGGAGATTTTCCTATTACCTTTGTTTTATTGGTTTCAAGTTTGATTTCATCGTGGTCAAAGAACACACCCTATACATTCAATTATTTTAAATTTGTTATAGTTCATTTTATTGTCCTGGACATAGTTTATCTTTTATATTTTCTATGGGCATTTGAAAAGAATGTATATTCTGCTCTGATTGAGTGGAATGTTCTATGAATATTGATCAAGTCCCTTGTCTTATGGTGTGGTTGAGTCCTTCTGTATCCTTGCTGCTTTTCATTCTAGTTTTTCTATAAATTGTTGAGAGAGGAGTGTTGAGGTCTTCAACTATAATTGTACATTTTTCTATTTCTTTGCATTTCTAACAGTTTTTGTTTTACATATTTGCAGCTGTGTTGTTTGGTACATACATGTTTAATATCATTAATCTTCTTGGTGGATTGATGCTTATATCATTATATAATGTCCCTCATTGTTTTTTATAATTTTATTTGCTCTGTAGTTTATTTGATCTGCTTTAATGTAGCTATGTATTTTATTAATTTTTACTTTATATATTTTTTAATCCTTTTATGTTTAACCTATCTACATTCTTATATTTGAAATGAACTTCTTACAGGTAGAATAGATTTAGGTCATCCTTCTTAGTCCATCCTTCTTAGTCCTTAAATCTCTGTCTTTTAATTAGTGTATTTAGATTATGTAAATTAATGCAATTTTGAATGTTAGGGCTTAAGTGTGCTAACTTTTTTTCTCTTACTCCCTCTGTTTTTTAACCTTTCTTGTCTTTTTCTTGCCTTCTTGTGAATTACTTAAAATTTTTTTAATATCTCACTTTGATTTATTTACAGTGGTTTTGAGTATATCTCTTTATACAACTTCTTAATGGTTGCTGTAAGTATTACATTATCTGTACATATAGCTATCAGTTTGCATTGAAGTGTAGAAACCTTACCTCCTTTTACTTTCTTTTGCCTTCTACCATTTATAATAAAATTGTCCTAAATATTTCCTATATATACATTTAGAACCACATTAGATAGTGTTATACTTGTGTTTGAACCATCAAACAAACTTTAGGAGACTCAAGAGGAGAAGGGAACTCAATCCTGATTATCAGTATTTTTGCTTACTGACTTTACTTCATTCCTAATGTTGCATTATTCCTAATTTAATTATTTGATTTCATTTAGACAATGTCCTTTAAACCACTGAAAAAAATTTTTTCACATTTTATTTTATTTTTGAGAGACAGAGAGAAACAAGGAGCACAAGGAGGGGAGAGGCAAAAAGAGATGGAGACACAGAATCCAAAGCAGGCTCCGGGGGTTGCCCCTGAAACCATTTTTTTTTTTTAATTTTTTTTTTCAATGTTTATTTATTTTTGGGACAGAGAGAGACAGAGCATGAACGGGGAAGGGACAGAGAGAGAGGGAGACACAGAATCCGAAACAGGCTCCAGGCTCTGAGCTATCAGCCCAGAGCCTGACGCGGGGCTCGAACTCACGGACCGCAAGATCGTGACCTGGCTGAAGTCGGACGCTTAACCGACTGCGCCACCCAGGCGCCCCTGAAACCATTTTTTAAAGGGTATGTCTGCTGGTGATATCGTCTCTTAGTGTTCCTTCATTTGAGAATATAGTGATTTTGCTTTCATTTCTGAAGGATAATTTCATCGAATATAGGATTCTGATTTCAGAACTATTTCATTTTGATACTTGAAAATAATTATTATACCACTTCCTTCTGGTGTCCATGGCTTCTGGTGAGAAACCCACTGTCATTTGTTTTCCCCCTGTAGTTAAGGTGTCATTTCTCTAGCTACTCTGAAGTTTTTGTCTTGTCTTTAGTTCTCAGAAGTATACTTGTTTTTTCGTCTTGATATGGATTTTTGTTGTTGTTGTTTATACTGTTTGGGTTTGCTTATTATCTTGATTTTTAGGTTGATGTCTTTAGCCAAATTTGGGAACTTTCTTCTATTATTTCCTTAAGTACTTTCTCAGCTTCACCTTCTTCCTCTTCTAACGTGTGACTTTTATTGCACAAATATTAGGTCTTTTGTTATAGAATCACAAATTCTTGAGGCTCTGTTCATTTTTTTTTTAATCTATTTTATCTGTTGTTCAGATTGGATAATTTCTATTGTACTGTTTTAAGTCCAGTGATTCCCTGTCACTTCCATTCTTCTGTTGTGCTCATACATTGGGTTTTTTATTTTGGTTATTGTATTTTTTAGATGCAATATTTCCATTTGGTCCTTCTTTAAATCTTCTATTTCTTTGTTGAGATTCTGTATTTTTTGCTGACATTTGCAGTATTTTCTATTTTGTCAGATGTGTTTATAATTATTTCTTGATGCATTTTTATAATGGCTTTTCTTTTTTATATTTAAAGACCTTATTTTTTTCAAAGATAGGTTTAGGTTTACAGCAAAATTAAGAAAAAGGTACAGAGTTTCCATAAACCTCTTGTTCTCATACATGCATAGTCTCTCCCATTATCTATATACCCCACCAGAGAGGTGCATTTGTTACAATTGGTGTATTTACACTGACACGTCATAATCACCCGAAGTTCATGGCTTATATTAGGGTTCACTCTTGGTGTTGTACATTTTGTGGGTTTATACAAATGGCAAGTAAGCATATGAAAAAAATGTACCACATCATATGTCATCAGAGAAATGCAAATTAAAATGACTGTGAGATACTACTATAAGCCTATTAGAATGGCCAAAATCCAAAAACCAAATTCCAGTAGGGATGTAGAATAATAGGAGCTCTCATTCATTGCTAGTGGGAATGCAAAATGATATAGCCACTTTGGAATACAGTTTAGCAATTTCTTGCAAAACCAAGCATATTCTTTTTTTATATTAAGTATAATTTATTGTCAAATTGGTTTCCATACAACACCCAGTGCTCATCCCAACAGGTGCCCTCATCCACGCCCATCACCCACTTTCTCCTCTCCCCCACCCCCCATCAACCCTCAGTTTATTCTCAGTGTTTAAGAGTCTCCTATGGTTTGCCTCCCTCCCTCTCTGTAATTCCCCCCCTCCCCTCCCCCACGGTCTTCTGTTAAGTTTCTCAGCATCCACATAAAAGTGAAAGCATTGTATCTGTCTTTCTCTGCCTGACTTATTTCACTTAGCATAATACCCTCCAGTTCCATCCATGTTGCTGCAAATGGCCAGATTTCATTCTTTCTCATTGCCAATTAGTATTCCATTGTATACAGAAACCACATGTTTTTTATCCATTTGTCAGTTGATGGACATTTAGGCTCTTTCCATAATTTGGCTATTGTTGAAAGTGCTGCCATAAACATGGGGGTAGAAGTGCCCCTATGCATCAGCACTCCTGTATCCCTTGGGTAAATTCTTAGCAGTGCTATTGCTGGGTCATAGGGTAGATCTGTTTTTAATTTTTTGAGGAAACTCCACACTGTTTTCCAGAGCGACTTCACCAGTTTGCATTCTCATGAACAGTGCCAGAGGATTCCCATTTCTCCACATCCTCGTCAGCATCTATAGTCTCCTGATTTGTTCACTGTAGCCACTCTGACCAGCGTGAGGTGAAAACCAAATATATTCTTGCAATATGATTCAGCAATTGCACTTCTTGGTATTTACCCATGGGAGTTGAAAATTTGTGTCCACAAAATAACTGCCACATTGATGATTTTGATGATTTTAATAGCTTAGTCTAAGTGCCAAAACTTGGGGGCAACCAAGATGTCTTTCAGTAGGTGAAAGGATAAATCAACCATGGCACATCCATACAATGGAATATTTTTCAACACTAAAAAATATGAACTATCAAATCATGAAGAGACATGGAAAAAACTTAAATGCATATTACTAAGTAAAAAAAGCCAACCTGGAAAGGCTACATACATACTGTATGATTCAGCCTATATGACATTATGGAAAAGGCAAAACTGTAAAAACACTGCAAACCTTCGTGGTTGCCAGAGAATGTTGAGGGTGGTAAGATATGTATAGATTGAACACAGATAATTTTTACAGCAGTTAAAATATTCCTTATGATGCAGTAATAATAGGTACATGTCATTATACATTTGTCCAAATCTGTAGTATGATAGTTTTAAATTTTTTTTTTCAAATAGTTCTTACATATGTGTTATCACAGTGTTGACATGTATCGATTGTTATTATTATTTTTATTTAATTTACATGCCTCTTAGCATATGGCATATGGTGTTTGTCTGCAGTAAAGTTGTTATTGTCTAAACGTTTTGTGTCATATAAGGATATCCCTTCCTGGTCCTTTTGCTAGAGAGAGAGTAGGTTTCTTTTGGGGCTTTTTTTTTTTTTCTTTTCTTTTTTTTTCTTTCTTCCAGTCTGTACCCTTTGGCATTTTCTGGCTTTCAGATTTTTCGGTGCCAAATTTAGGATATATGAGGTGATGAGAAAACCAGGGGAACTCACATTCACATCCTTCCTTCCCATCCAGCCTTCCATCATCACATCTTTTCCCTACTTTACAGAGTGCTTCTATATTTGTTTTATATAAAAGACATTCAAGTTTCTTTAGTTCTACATAGGAGCTCCATATTCTCAGAAATGGAAGCCCACCGTGTCTATTCCAATAGTTCTTTTCTTTTTTTTTAACTCCTTCTTAAAAGATAATACCGATCCTTAATCTAGTATCGACCAACAAAGTATATATGAAGATAGATTTCTTTTATTGTGTACTTGGGAGTTGATTGAACCCATATCTAGCTGCAAGATGGGTAGATATACTGAATTTCTAGTATAAATTCTAGTGTCTAGATTGTAGGAATTTACCAAGTTGGGTTTTAAAATTTTTTTTTTTTATGTTTATTTATTTTTGAGAGAGAGACAGAGACAAAGACAGAGAGACAAAGAGACAGAGTGTGCGTGGGGGAGGGGTAGAGAGAGAGGTAGACAGAATCTGAAGCAAGCTCCAGGCTTAGAGCTGTCAGCACAGAACCCAATGTGAGGCTTGAACTCATGAACTACAAGATCATGACTTGAGCCGAAGTTGGACACTCAACTGACTGAGCCACCCAGGTGCCTCCTAAGTTGGTTGCTTTAGCTAAACTATGATAGTATTGCCTCTTAGCCCCACATTTGATTCTCTGGCAATCTGAGTTAATAGAGTATTTATTAGTTTCCTAAAAGAAACTTTTAAAGTCTCTTCCAGTCTCTTCTCCCTACCATATAAAACTATGAATCATGCCACCAGGATGTAATATGTGACTTCTGATCCTCGTGTATGCTTTGACTTCTCTGTCCTCTTATTTTTTAGGTGCTGCAGGATGTAAAAAGATGTTGAGAAGTTTAAGAAGGGGAAGTGGAAAGGGTATTATGGCTATATCGTATCTCCTTCCAGTCAGTTCAGAATTATCTATATCTGTATCTCTATCTATCTATCTATCTATTTTTTTTTTTTTTCCTGGTTGGATGTAGGCATGTTTCTCCAAGCAAGAGGGTCAGACTGAATGAGAAAGAAACTTTTTTATTCTCTATGTGGGCCATCCTTGTTTTCAGAGTGATGCATGGATCAGTCATTACTTGCTCTGCTCATTTCAGTTTCATTGGTTTAATTGTTAAAGGAAATTCCCCCCAAATTTAGATGGTAGTCAGTTTTAAATGTTACTGTATTTAATCTATTTCTTTGGTTCCTTATAGGCATTTTAGGAGAAGGGAGTGGCAGCCGGCCGAATGCCACTTGGAACTAAAATCTCCCAGACTAAGCTAGTCTTAAAGGAAATTTAAAAGTAAGTCTAAGTGCAAACAAGGTTTTAAAAATTGAAGTGAATGATTTAAGTCGCTAAAATAATCTCTCCATTTAAAAATCAGGGACATACAAAAATAATTTTATTGTCTGAGTTTTTAAACCTTTTCAAATCTGTGAATCAAGCTCCTCTTGGTATTTGAATAGGTGCCATCTGCTGATCTGTAACAGAGCCAGTTTTTGCATTTGGGCCTAAATTTAATACTTAATTCCAATAGATGAAACATGCAGATCATTATAAGCAATGAAGCATTTGCAGGTTTTTAATTTAATACTTTCCTAACACTTAATTTATTAGTAGTAATTTACCTAGAGTCTTTAAAGGTACTTGTTATTAATTACCTATACTATTATGTCATTTAAATAAGAAAATTACTTAAATAAGCTAAAGGTAGGTATCGGTTAGTTATAGATGCATTAAAAATTTTTGAAAATTCCCATATTTAGAAATTTCAAATAGCAACCAGAAGCTTAGAACGCTAAGTATGTAATTCAGCTGAGGGTTTTTACTGATTTGGATTGAGCTTGGTGAAGCTCGTTCATGTGTCTTTGGTCAGCTGTGAACTGGTATGTGACTTTGCTAACCTTGACCTGTTCTCTCATGTCTGGGTCATTAGACTTACCTCTGTTCCATGTGTGCCATTCTCCAGTAGGCTAGCCCGGGCATGTTCTTGTGGTGAAAGGGGTGTGGACAGCAAGCGCAGAAAATGTACTATATCTTTGGAGGCTTAGGTTTGGAACTGTCAAAATATCACTTCCTTTCACAAGTCACAAAGGTTGACAGAATAGACTGTAGCTATTGATGAACTGCAAAGTAACAACTGAAAGGTTATAGATACAGGGAGGGGTGAATAATCATGGCCACGGGATTCAATCCGCTATTTTCGAAACGGATGGAATTGGGATCAGGACCCTGTTTTGTGCCTCCAGACTGGGTTTCTTTTTATGTTACAAACTGTTCTTCCTATTTACCTATATGATAAATTTGAATGTTCATTGGGAAAAAAACATTTGTGACTTAGTGTATGTCTTGGTCCTCAAGTACTGATCTAGAAAGCTGTGATACAATCGTATTCTCTTTATCTATTGAGTACTAAGTACTTCTTCACAAAATCAGTGTTAGAGGATCTGAAGAAAATAGATTTTATATACTTGGAAATGTCTGATGTTTTCCAAATGTTATCAGTACAGTGAAACTTTGGAAGGTTAAGAAGAATTATTTCACATTGCTTTACCCATTTATTTCATTTGACTATAAATCTCAGGGAACTAGAGTGATAATATTGGAATTGGATTACTCTGGTTATCATGGTCTTAATTTCACTTTACATCCTCTATCCTAGAAAAAAGTTATTACTATCTAGAAGTGATTCCTTTTGGAAAGCAAGTTACAGGGTCAGATCTAAAACTTCAAGGTGTGTTTTACCTCATGTTGAAATTTTTATTACAGACCACTTACCCCTCGTTGTTGCCTTTGCCTTTGTGGACCGGGAGATAGATGAAAAAGAGAAAATTGTTATGAAGTTGTGGCAGCTTCAAGCTGTCCTATTTGTTTGTCCCCAGATCTTTCTATGCCAGTTCCAAAATGCCCTCCTGCCAAAATTAGGCTCGGAAAAATAATTTATTTCATGTTGTGGTTTTTGGAGCAATGGTGGGGTTTGGAGATGATGGCCAAGAAAGAATTCTTGAAGATGTCTTTGGTGCAAAAAGTGATTTTAATAAAGCATGGGAACAGGACCCGTGGGCAGAAAGAGCTGCGCTGGGGTTGTGAAGAGTGATATACTGTGGAGTTGGGAGAAGTAAAGTCAAGAGGAAGTTTCTTAAAGCTATCCCCATATGCTAAAGACGATTTACAGATTACTGGAGGCCTAGCTATTGTCAAAACTAGGTTGTTTTTCCCTCAAGCAAAGCATTATAATTAAGATAGTAGGGAGTTCCTAGAGATTAGACTATTGATAAAATTGCCTTTTTCTTATAATATTGCTAAGATACTTGTAAACTGATACAGACTCAATCAGTTAAACCATTTGTTTTTTGTCCCTTCCTTTGTTCTTGGGCAGTCAGGAGTGCCTGAGGAATACCTCCACCTGTAGGGCGGAGGGGAGTGGGGGGCGGTGGGGTAGGTTGTGGCATGTCAGCTTGCCTTATGCTCCCTCATCATTTCATATATAACACATGTTTGAAATGAGCAGGAAATGCAGCCAAGATTTGTAAATTAACAAGGAAAAAGTTTTTTTCTGAAAACATTTGGGAGCCAAGGAAGAGTGTTTGCCTTAAAACATTAGGGCATTCCATTTTTTAGTAAATTAAATAATTTTTTCAAAATCTCAGAAGGAACAACATTAACATTTGTTTTTCTGTATATATGAACAATTCTTATTTAAAAAAATTCATTGTTGGGGCACCGGGGTAGCTCATTTGGTTAAGTGTCTAACTCTTGGTTTTAGCTCAGGTCATGATCTCGCGGCTTTGTGGATTCAAGCCCTGCATCAGGCTCTGTGCTGGCAATGCAGAGCCTGCTTGGGATTCTTTCTCTCTCCTTCTCTCTCTGCCCCTCCCCTATTTGGGCTGTTTCTGTCTGTCTCAAAATAAATAAATAAATAAGCTTAAAAACATAAAAACTCACTGTCACAAATTAAATGAGTTGTCTAAATGTATAGGATAACTGATATTCTGATACCTGTTAAATCTTAATTTTGTATGAAATTTAATTGTGTGTTTCAGTTTTGCCATATGTGAGAAGGATTTCTCTTGATCCGCCACCTGCAGAATAGACAGGGATAGCTAAAGGGATCCAGAACGAGAATCAAATCTCCCCTCTTTAATATAGACCACTGTTTAGCCCTGACTTCTTGATAATTACATTGCTAGGTCTCTGCTAGATAGGGAATTATCTTGTCAAATTATCTCTGTGGATTAATATAATTCAAGGCAAGGAATATTTGCTAGGCATTGTCTGTATAAGACAAGGAGATGCTGAGGAGGATAGAGAAGATTTGCAAACTCTGGTTCCCTGTCCACAGGAAACTTAAAATCTAATTGAGAATAGGATTTTTTAAATGGGAGGTATAGGCATACTTCAAAGATATTGTGGGCTCAGTTCTGGACTACCGCAAAAAAGTGAGTATTGGAGTAAAACGAGACAAATAAATTTTTTTCCTTTCCCAGTGCATATAAAAGTTATCTTTGCACCATACTATAGTCTGTTAAAAGAGCAATGTATGTACCTTAATTAAACGTACTTGAATTGGTAAAAAATGCTGTCATCTGAGTTTTCAACAAGTCACAATCTTTTTCCTGGTGGAGGGTCTCACCCGATGTTGATGGCTGCTGACTGAACAGGGTACTGGTTGCTAAGGGTTGGGGTGTCTGTGGCAATTTCTTAAAATAAGGCAACAATGAACTTTGCTGCATCAATTGTTTTTCTTTCATGAATGCTGTTTGATAGCGTTTTATCTACACTAGAACTTCTTTAATAATTGGAGTCAATCTTATCAAACTCTGCCACTTCTTTATCAACTAAATTTATATAATATTCTAAATGTTTTGTTGTCATTTCAACAATCTTCATGGCATCTTCACCAGGAGTAGATTCCATCTCAAGAAACAACTTAGCTGTTACAGTTTTATGAGATTGCATCAGTTCAGTCACATCTTCAGTCACATCTTCAGGCTCCACTTATAAATCTGGTTCCCTTGTTCTTTCTAACACACCCACAGGTACTTCTTCCAATGAAGTCATGAACCCCTCAAAGTCATGAGGATTGGAACAACTTCTTCTAAATTCCTGTTCCTGTTGATATTTTGACTTCTTCCTATCAACCATGAATGATCTTAGGGACATCTAGAGTGGTGAGTCCTTTCCAGAAGGTTTTCAATTTACTTTCCCAGATCCATCAGAGGAATCCCAGTCAGTGGCAGCCGTAGCATTATGAACTGTATTTCTTAAATAGTAAGACTTGAAAGTTGAAATTGCTCCTTGATTCACGGGCTATAGAATGATGTCTTGGCAGGCATGGAAACATTAATCTTGTCATAGATATCCATTGGAGTGATGGAATACCAGATACATTGGTCCTGTGTGACCAGGTACATTGTCAATGAACGCTAATATTTTGTAAAAAATCTTTTTTTTCTGAGCAGGCTCAGCAGTGGGCTTAAAATAATGAGTAATAAAGAGAATAGGCAGAGTACATTTAACATACTTATTAAGGGCCCTAGGATCATCAGAATGGTAACTCAATATTGGCTGCAAATTAATATCTCCAAAGCTAGGCATTGACTTCTCCTCTCTAGCTATGAAAGTCCTCGATGGCGTCTTCTTCCAATAGAAGGCTGTTTTGTCTATATTACAAATCTGTTGTTTAGTGTAGCCACCATCATTAATTATGTTGGCTAGATCTTGTGGATAACCTTTTGCAGCTTCTACATCAGTACTTGCTGCTCTACCTTGCACTTTTATTTTATGCAGATGGTTTCTCTCTTTAAATCTCATAAATCAACCTCTGCTAGCTTCAGACTTTTCTTTGGCAGCTTCCTCACCCCTATCAGCCTTCATAGCATTGAAGAGAGTTAGGGCCTTTTCCTGGATTAGGCTTTGGCTTAAAGGAATGTTGTAGCTGGTTTGATTTTCTATCCAGGCCACTTAAACATTCTTCATATCAGCAATAAGGCTGGTGGGGTTTTGTGTGTGTGTGTGTGTGTGTGTGTGTGTGTGTGT